TTCATTAGACTTATAAATAGTACTTACGTTCGTTTTGTTCTTTGATCGGACAATTTGTTTGATTTAGGCCAAGTAAAGACTCATGTGAAAAATAGCGAAAACGACACGTGCTGGCGAAGTCTCCAACAACTCCCTGTTTCACGATTTAATGAAGAAATAACATGGAACTACTTATCTTATTACTGACCCTGCACATAAATCTATTAATTTCTTCGCTTTTACTGCCATATAAAGACATAACCTTTTGAAAAATTGCACAACAAGCCTGCTACTACACCACACTCCCGTGTGTCACAATGCTAATCAGCGGCGTTCACTCGGCTTGCTCCTAACTTACGATAATTCTCCCGCTAGATGGCAGACCTGAGCTCAATGTCGCCAAAAACTGCGAAGACACCAATCCATTATTATCTCATCCATGGCATGGCTATGGGAATATCATCACGGTCTGATAAATGGTTTGGGTAATTGCATGCATCGTAAAAATACCAACACAGCCACAGGTAACTATATATTACAGAAAGGGGCTGCTGTGTTCATGCATTAACCCGCGCCCTGCCGGGGGGGGGGGGGGTGTTATACACCCCCTGCCGTTTACCGTGAATATCTCAAAAACGTCGGCGCGCTACACTTTATCCTACATCATTTCTACATATGTTGTTAAAATTTCAGACCCTGGTCACTTAAAGTCAGGTCACCAGGTCAGGTCAAATGGCCGCACTACATAAGTTTCAATGTCTGCCAAAGCTACACGGAGTGACCAAACGCTTTGAAACTTTCAGAGATGCAAATGCACAAGAGCGACAAAATGCAAAAAATGTATGTCTTGGAATTTTGATATGGCACCCGTGACCTCTTTTTATAACCCTGAGGTCATCTCAGGTCACCAATGGTATCTGACTTTTTCGCGAATAACTTTTGATAGAGGCATGCTAGAGCGATGAATACACCTTAGTTGTGTTTGGCTCGACGATACGGATGGACTGATATGGAACTTAGCCCTTATCGGTCAGGTCGTGACCTTGACCTGAGGCCAAATTTTCAAGTTGACCTTTCAAGCTCAATTGATACTTCAATCCACACGTTTTGACGAGAGGAACACGATGCTGGTAAAGGGAAGTTCGTGCAAATTTTGAGACGAAAGTTATTGCCGAAAACTGGTTTCCGAAAATATCGGCTATTTTGGCAGTTTTTGCGGCCACTGCAGGTAAAACCGTTGACGGCACCCGGCATGATTTCTCTGAGCGCATTTATACAAATAATTTGTTTACATAGGATAGGGCCTTCTGTTTACAGAGGACCTCCTCCCCTGTCCCTTCCTACAGTGGGCGGCGACGCGGTTGGGAGTCTATTCTGTACAGTTTCCTGAGTTCTCAGTTCTCACTATAGTGAGAACTGAGAACTCTCTATAGAGAGTAGCAGGGAACAGAAGCCGGAAGGTAATTTGCTTACAGTGGGCCTCCACTCTATGTACTTAATATACGACGCTGCCTTTGACTACCGGGGGCCTCCTGCCCACAGAGGGCCTCTTATCTACAGAGGGCTTCCTCTCTACAGATTGCCTCTTATCTACAGAGGGCCTCCTCTCTGCTAAGGGTGTCTTTCTCTCCAAAGGGCCTCCTTTACAGAGGGCATCCTCTCTACAGAGGGCCTCCTCTCTAGTCTCTACAGGGACCTCCTCTCTACAGAGGGCTTCCTATCTATGTAGGGCCTCCTCTCTTCAGAGTCTCGTCTCTACACAGGACCTCTTCTATACAGAGGACCTCATCTCTGCGAAGGGCCTCCTCTCTTCAGAGGGCCTTCACTCTACAGACGGCCTCCTACCTACAGAGGACCTCCTTTCTACTGAGGGAGTCCTCCTCTACAGAGGGCCTCCTCTCTTCAGACGATCTCCTCTCTACAGATGGCCTCCTCTCTTCAAAGGGCCTTCTGATTTCAGACGGTTTCCTCTTTACAGAGGGCCTGCTCTCTACGGAGGGCCTCCTTTTTACAGAGGGCCTCTTTTTACAGAGGGTCTCTTTTTACAGAGGGTCTCTTTTTTACAGAGGGCCTCCTTTTTGCAGAGGGCCTCCTCTCTACAGGGGGTCTCCTCTCTAAGGGGGCCTCCTCTCTACACAGGGCCTCCTACCCACAGAGGGCCTCCTCTCTACTGAGGAGTCAGAGGGGCCCTAGCGGTCAGACAAAGACACTAGTGGTTATTCACAGGAGATTAGAAGGGTCCTAGCTGTCACTTGTCAGGCTGGTCAGAGGGCCCTGACTGTTCTGACGTCATTTTTTAGATTCCCGCGTGAATTTCGTTCGCCTCCGACGTGATTTTGGCCAACGTGGGCCTTCGGCCCACGTTTGATTCAGGCCGAAAGGATTCAGGCCAACGTGGGCCTTCGGCCCACGTTGGCCTGAATCCTTTCGGGGGGCCTCCTGAAACCCCAAGGGAGGGGCGGGCGCCCCCTCCGCCCCCCCTTGGCTACGTCCCTGTATGTCATATATCAAAAATAGCGTATTTTTCGAAATTTCAAAAATACATATTAATCTCTGTTTCATTGCAAGTTCAATGTTATATAACATTTGGCATTTGAATAATCCGTCTCAGAGTTACAGCCCGCCAAAGTTAGCGCTGGAAAGCAAGATCCAAAAAATGTTATGCACCATAACTCAAAAAATACTTATCTGATAAGCCTGAAATTGTTACAGGTGGATTCAGAGCCCCTGATTACCCCTGAGACCAATTCTCGTCAAATTCCGAGAGATGAGGGTGTCAAATTGGAAAAAAGTGGTACGATCTCTCGTGGAATGCCCCTGCTATTTAGGTTGGATTCTGTGAGGCCCCTACCAGTGTGGGGTCACGCACTCACTGTTCCCATCGCTTCTTCCCGGCTCAGGCAGCGGACGGCAGAGCAACGTGAAGCGGACGGATGAGGATGAAACTCAGCTTGTGCTTGGAGATGAGCGTAAATTGATCAGAGGGACAAAACGAGGGTTGAAAGCCTCCAATGTAACTGGCATATATGTAATTTGGCATGGTCTCAGATGTAGTTGGCAATCAATCGTTGTCTCGGATAATCCAGAGCAACAAAAATGTCTAACAGAATAACATTATTTTTCAGTTTTTATAGCAAGTGCACTTGTGCAACACCTTACAATATCATCATAGGCGGCGGAACGGGGAGGGCACCGGGGCACCGTGCCCCCTTTGATTTTGGTATTTTAAGATTAGCCCTATGGACGGTGCATGGAAAGAATGGGACCAAAAGTCGGCAGTGCCCCCCTTAATTGAGGGTGTTCCGCCGCTACTGAATATCATATGTCATATCTGTGAAATATTATATCTGCATGTCGCATCTGTATGAAAAAACAACAATTCACTTTATGTAATTAGAAAAAGTGCGATGTAAACCATTTCTTCAAGCGTTTGAATGATTTTTTTATATTTTTTTACGCAAACGTGTGCAACCAGACCAGCCTGGATAACGATGCTTCCGAAAGAAACCTCCGCTCGCTGAGCGCGTTTTTTCCCTCAGAATTTCTCTAAAGTGTCGGCGACGAAGTAGTTTTGAGGTTCTCCCAGGAGTGGCTCACGGCGACGCCACTCCAGAACTTGTCTGGCCATAAGGTCGGCTGATTGGTTCTGACCGCCGGGCCTTATACAAAATTCAGCACTCGGCTTGTTTGTTCGGCAGTCTGAAAGCTTCGCAGAAGTTGTAGTTCGACCGCGGCAAATGCACCCGTCCCTTTGTCCTAGGTAAAGGTTTTCAATGAGGCACGATGCACTCAGGCTCAATTTGACTGCCTTTCTCCGTCACAGGTTTTATAAAGAATATTTTCATTTTACTTAGCAAGCCCTGTGGGGAAGCATGAAAATGGATCGTGATGAGCTTTAATGGAATTGGTGTCCCCTTCTCTATGATCAATGAAGCTAGTTATTTCCTCTCATTATTTTTTTTTTTAAGGGATGCTGTTGCAAGAGGCATTTTGCTACCCTACATTCATTTCAAGCTTGAAGGCAACAATGTTGATGGGCCTACTGAGTCCGAAAAGACAGAAGTTGGTTTGGACACCTTAAAATTCGATTGATATGTGTCATTCCAAAAAAACTGATTAGTCCATTTAGTTCTCTTTGACTTACATTCAATAGATATATAGATATTAATCCATTCACATATTCATTATTTCTTATCAAGTGGTGACTGCTGGATATTCAAACAACCATGCTCCCATCCATTGATCTTCATGTTTTCATCTTTATTAGAGAGATGCCAAACTTATTTCACAAAATATTTTGGACATAGTAACTAATAAAGAAATTCATTTTCAAATTTGCAAAATTTTGTCTTAACAAGGTAAACTCTTGCAAAGTGCATAGCACATCCGTGCTTCTGATGTGGTTAAGTCAAACCTATTGCCTACTTTCTACATTTCTACTACCACTTTTCATTAAAACAACTCGCAATTTGCACAAGATATATACTATAAGAGCATAACGTGCCGCTCCTTTCTCATGCCGTATTCTCTCCCGCATGGTCATCTCACGGTCAGTAAATACCTCCCTACCTAAATACCTCCCTACTAAGCAGCTGAGCAGCACGACAGCACGGTGGGTCGGCCCCTGGCGCGTGCGTGACCGCCCTCTGATCCCTGGGACCGCCGACGGACCACTACCTCCGCCGACCGTCAGCTCACGGCCACAGTCGGTCTGCCCCAGTCGGCCGGCAGCGGCGGCAGAGATAGGGCGGTCGAACGCGGCGGTCCGACGGTAGCACTGCAGAAATCCGCGGTAGCAGTGAGATCGAGGTCTGTCCAGGCGACCAGTCCAGGCTGAAGAAGGGTTGTCCTCTAACACTGATCCAGCAGTGATCGAGTGAAGGTCTGTTGGTGGTCCAGACAGTTCAGCTAGAGACGTTCTAGTGTTGGCCCTGTCACAGTTCGGCTGTGGTCAATTACAATAGTGGTCCGGTGGTTCTCTGACTTCCCGGTAGCTATGTGGCAGTCTATGCCTCGGGCAGCTCACTGGCTCCCGGACTCAGCAGCACCGGATGGCTCCTCCTCGCCACTCTTCTGGTCCGACCTGGACAGCCTCAACTCGACACTACTCTCTGTGGAGCAGCACTGGGACCCGATCCCCTCCGCGGACGGGCCTCAGGGTGCTGTCGGAGGGGCACTTATCTCCCCTCTACGGCGGCGACCACTGCCTCTCGGCATCCAGAACCGCTACTTTCTACCGGAGGGGCAGTCGCCGCGACCGGCCCGGCGCTGCAGTACCCTCGATTCGGCACTGCACAATTACCTGGCGGTCGACCCAAGCCTCTCTCCTCGCCCGGACAGGGCACGGAACACCGCAGAAAAGAGGAACTCAGTCGCCAGTTTATCCCCTCAGTCGGATCGGGCCCGAAATACCGTGATGAAGAGGGGCTCAGGGGCTAGTCTCTCCCCGCAGTCAGATACGATAGAGAGGCGGGACTCGGGAGCCTGTCTGTCTCCCAGGCTGGACCGGTACGACAACATTACAAGGAGGCGGTCCTCGAGAACCAGTCTTTCACCGGGGTCAGACTCGACGGGAAGGCGAAACTCGGATACCTGTTTGTCCCCGCAGCCGCACAGGGCCGGACTCGCGGAACGAAGGCGGGACCAGGGCACTAGTCACACCCCGTGTCATCCAGCCGAGAACACGGTCTTCTCCTCCCGCGACAAGCAGGAGCGTGGTCTGAAGACCGTCAACACCGGCTCTTCAGTCTCTACCGAAATGAATCGGTTTGTAACGGAGGCCAGCCCAGCTCTGGACAGGACCGCCATTCTGAACGGCCAGCAGAGGAGTATTTGTGATGTCGCTTCGAGCAGGGTGTCCGAACGTGCTGCTTCAGCTTCACCACACGCACCGAGACGCCAAGTAAACGTCTCACCGAGAACCGTCGGGGGACACAAAAGGTAGGTTACATTCCCAATGTAAGTATAACAAGCTTTGTTAGAGGTCTAGAGGCTGACTTCAAAGTAGTGTTTTCTCTCAACAGACTGGGCACTGTACAGTTGCCAAATGATTTTCCAGTCCATTTTCTACATCTCATTATGCAGCTTCAACCAATTCTACTGAATTACTGTCTGCACATAGAAGCCACCGGAAAGAGTCAGCATAAGTGGAAAATGATGTTAAATAAACATGCATCAAAAGCTTAGGCAGCTCACCTAAATGGTTCAGCATTTTCTAAGCCACTGACGCCTCAGTACCATGATCCTATTCAACGCAAAAATGATCTCTCTTCCTTCCTCTCTCTCTCTCTCTTTCTCTCTCTCTCTCTCTATCTCTCTCTCTCTCTCTCTCTCTCTCTCTCTCTCTCACTCCTCTCTCTCTCTCGCTCGC